GCGTCAATAGGAGGTCTTCAGCGCTTCGACGTTCAGCGACCCCGCCCCCAGAGGTCGCTTTGGCTAGTTTTCCCGGCGGGGGCTGGGAGACCGTGTGGTAGAATACCGCTGGGGCGTTGATGAAAATCGCCTCGGTGATGGCGAGCGCGACTGGCGCCCGGCAGATGGTGGTGCATGCTGCTGGGAGAGGTAGTTTTCGATGTCGCGCGGTCTCTGGCCGTAACGGGGTGGCGGTGAGTACGCAGAGGCCGCAGTGAGTACAAGTGATCAGCTTCTCCGCAGTGATAGCACAGAGGCCGGCGATCAGGTGTGCGCCAAACATCAGACTTTCGAGGAGACGTGCGCCGATCGTCGATGTACTGAACTGGTTGCACTGAACGATGGGCGACAGCAGCACCAGGGACAAAGGCCAACGGTGGTGGCGTGTACGTGCCTTCGTAGTACGGTATGTGCTGCGCTGACTGTAGTGAAACAACAGGAACAGGATGGACGAATAATGGCGGCGTCGCAGCAGGGCGTTTCAAGGCTTCCGCGTAGGTTGTCTCACGGCGGTATTCAGCAGGAGCTGGCACAGCTGTATCATGAGGCAAGGTGTCCCGGAGGGCCTGGTGCAGCTCATCCTTGATCACAGTTGCAATAGAGTTGACTGTAGGATGAGGTGTTACACCAGCCTTTTGTAACTCTTCACGTACTACATCACGGATGAGTTCACGTAGACAGTCGTTGTTGGTTCTAGTGGCGGTGAAAATGTCGGCAGTAAACATGCCACTGACTTGCCTGTCGTATTGGTTGGATCGCTGCTGCAGCATTTTTTCCATTGTCACGGCCTCGGACAAGAACTCCGTGACCGTCTTCGGAGGACTTCGCACGAGGCCGGCAAAAAGCTGGTCCTTGACACCGCGCATCAAGTGACGCAACTTCTTGTCCTCCGTCATTCTTGAATTGGCCCGTCGGAAGAGGCGCGTCATGTCTTCGACGAACGTGGTCACAGTTTCGTTTGGCAGCTGGACGCGGGCCAGAATAGCTCGTTCAGCTCGTTCTTGGCGATCAGCACTGGCATACGTCTGCAGAAGTCTACGAGAGAATTCGGGCCACGTCGTCAGCTGTTCCTCTCGGTTTTCATACCACGTACGTGCCCCGTCTTCGAGATAGAAGTAGACACGACCCAGTTTCGCCGCGTCATCCCACTGATTCAAGGTGGCTACGCGCTCGAAATCCGCCAACCAGTCCTCAACGTCCTCGTGCTCCGAGCCATGGAACGTCGCCGGTGCGCGTGGGCTTTCCAACGTGTAGCGGTTCGACGTCGTGCTTCCCGTGCCGGTTGCCGAGGTTTGCACCGAAGCGCTGGTCATGTTTGTCGACGTGGTGGGAGCAGTATCGTCGGCTTCCGGAGGCAATCCCCTGATTCGGCGGCTGGTCCGATGCACGGGAGTATTGACTGGCACTGGACTCGTATCGCGGCTTCCTGGGGGGGGTCTGCAGCATCCGTGAGACTACCCAGCACTTCCACCAGTTTGTCACGATGAGTCACAAGTACTGGGGGATTTATTAAACCACCAGGTAGCTAGCACTAGGACGATGCGTCAGTCGTGGCTGGCTCTCGAGCAAAGAAGAACGCGATCTTCTTTTTTCCTCCAGATTTAGAGCCGCTCTTGCTTTGAACCCACCACGTGCTGGCGGCAACAGAGTGAATTATGATGAGTGGGGGGAAGCGTCCGTCAGTTCGTCCGCGCTTCCATCCGTCCATTCGTTCTGGCTCCCGTCAGTCCATGTGCCCATCCGTCCATTCAGCCGTTCTTGTGTCAAACAGACAGACCACCGACGGACGTGATCAGCACGTGATTCACGGCTTGCCGATAAAACCCTCCGAAACGTCACCCCACTCATCATCCTTAACTCAGTGGATATGCTGTGATGTGGTTACTACATGCATGCATACGTACAGGTGACGACCAACCCACGCTTTAAAAAGCTTCACCCCTAAAAAAACAAAAAGCAAAGATTCTGCCGCATGGCATAGAACCAGCAACTTCTCCATTCGCTGCGCACAGCGCTAACCCCTACGCCAGCGAGTGAGGATGGTAACGTCAAGCCATTTATACAAAGCACGCACCGTTTGGCGGTCCTCAGAGTTCCGAAATTTCAGCACGTTTTTGTTATCAGTGGCGAGTTCGCACGACAGACTTTCTTCGGGCGCGCTCTAAAGGTCGTCGTGTCCACGGAGAGCAGCAGTCTTCGCGGGGTGTGGTCCCTCCTGCGCACGCCCTTATCAGACTAGTAATTCAGGACAAAACGAAGGTCACTTCACACGCTGTGCAGCCGTGTTCAGAAAAGGAGCGCGCGGCTGACAGCGACGCAGAAAGAATCGTGGCAGTTGTTCGAGCTTATCAGATGTATGCTTGTTCGCTCGTTTTGTGCGTCTTTCATTCTATTTTCACGGCGTGCTTTAAGTGTCCAGTTGTGACAGTTGTTAGTCTGCACTAGTCCTGTGTATCCTAATTCTATACACGCTTTCTGCTTGAAGTGTGCTCTTCTGCTCAACCCCTCACTCTTGTCCTCAGGCATTTCGGGGTTGGCGGTGCGGAAGAGTTTGGTCATCTCTTCCGTGAAGAGTGCCACGTTTTCTCTTGACAGCTACATCGAGTTTCTAGAAAAGCTTGAGCCTTCTTCTTGCGGACAACACTTGAAAAAGTGACAAGGAGCCTGGCCCGAAAAACACCCCACGTCGTGAGGTTTCGTTCTGAATTCTCGAACTGGGTCAGAGCAGCGTCTTCCAAAGCGAAATAGACATACCGAAGCTTGCCATCGCCGGTCCAGTCGTTGAATATGTGACTCGGTCGAACCTTTCAAGCCAGCTCTCCGGGTCTTTGAGTGGCGAACCGCGAAAATTTGACGGCTCCTTGTGTTGTCGGAGCAGGAGTGGTGAAGGTGGCACAAGTGCGGTCATTTTCGCCCTGGTCGATCGACGTCAATTTCTTGGTCTTCGGAGCCTCGTGAGGTAGAAGCCGTACTCCGGTGCCAGGCCTTGTTGCCTGCGGCTGACTCACTTCTCGTAGCTGGTGTCGGGGTCTTTTTTGTGACGTGGGTCAGCTTGACGGTTTGATAAGGGCACCCGGTACACGAGAGAAGTAGCAGCTTTACCAAATGTTACGGATTCATGACGTGTACGAAAGGAGCAGACAGTAGATCGAAGATGAAACTGTTTATTTGTGCCGAACTTGCGGCCAACAAACAAAAACTAGGAATACAGCCATATACACTGGCACCGATAGCGACGAACAGAGCGTCGGCCGTTGATCAACTGACAAGTGATGAAGCACGTCGGCATTTATACACGTGCCGTCAAATATTCAAGCTTTATAGGTAGTGGCCACGTAAGATCAGAATAATCGGTAATGTTCGCGAAGTGGGCGCAATTGTAACTAAATGATCTACAGCAATCCCTAAGCTTCTCGAACGTTGTTGGTGCCAACAAGAGTGGCGATGTGGGCTTGTTGGTGATGCATTTGAAAGAAATTTATGTAGCGCGGCCGTTTGCGCTGAGAAATATGTAGTGTAACCAGACTATAACAAAACTGGAGGAAGGAACGTGGCAATATTCACGCAGACAACCTTCGAGCTTGAAATATACTGCGCAAGTCAGCACCTCATATTCGGCTAACGAACTCCTACGATGAACCAGACACATAGCCCTTAGACATGCCAACACGGGTTCCAAAAGCAACGGGCACATGTGCCGGGGACCTCCTGGCACCAACATGCGACATGGTGGAGCGGAACCTTAGCATACAGCATGAGCTCACTTCGCCCATCCAGTCACAGCCGCAAAAAGCCGGAGCAGTCTTTCTGCAAGGCCAGTGCTTGCACCTATTACGTCGCAGCAATCGTGAGGAGCAACCCACAGATCGCCACGTCCCCCAACGTCCCGTGAACTTTCTCTCGCATAAAGCTGAAGGATTGTTGTGCCGATGGGTGTGTTTTAATGCTGGCATTTAGACGGCTAAATAGGCAGCTAAGTGAACAGCGGCTATCTAAAGTACCACTCCAATTCTCACTCAGCTGGCAAAATAAAAAGCATCGAGAAGACGGCATCACACACAAAAACTACGCCGGCTACTTTGCTGTCCTAACAAAATGGCGGCTCAGCGATGTGCACAGATGACTTGGCTCGGGTCTCGCCAGAATGGTTGTCTGCACACAAGCAGACGCTTTTTCCAGGCGCTCAGTGCTAGCAACGTTCAGTTTTTTCTATATTTTAACACAAAATATGCTAAGCTATTAACAATTACATTTGCTTGAAATAGATTTTTCTTCGCAACGCAATTCGGCGTCCCATTGCTTAGAAGCCATCTAGACGCGTTTCACTTCTCGGACAACGTGGGTGCGATGCTGTCTTCCACTTGCTTATCGAGCCTGATTGCGAGTCAAGCCTTCTGCTTCACATTCGGATGTAAACAAGCGAGGAGAGCTTGCCCAGTGAATATGGCCGATTTCCGGCTTTACCACGGCTTCACAACGTGTGATGTCGCGGCCTCTCCTCAGTTCTTTCCTTCTTTCATGCTGTCTTCTAAGCCGTCGCCATAGACTGTCTACAATGCTGCCTAAAACGGGAACACATCATATGTACGTACATCTGCAATTGTGTGTGAGGGCAGTTTGGTGACCGTGAGCGATGTATCTGACGTCAACACTATCGTAATTTCTGCCAGTATAAAAGGCCGCCAACTGATGTTCACACTAGACCATCACCGTAGACTGTCTATAATGCTGCCTAGAACTGGAGCACAGCATATGTACGTGCGTCTGCAATTGTGTGCGAGTGCAGTTTTGTGACCGTGAGCGATGTATCTGATGTCAACACTAACGTATTTACTGCCACTATAAAAGGCCGCCAACTGATGTTCACACCGTACCATTTCGCGGAGCACAAGGCGTGGGATCTGCCAATTTTTTTAAGGTCCCACTGCAGGCGTGGGCTCAGCCTTTGCGGCGTAACTTACGACTTCCACTTGGTCGCCTTTCTGCTGTACCATAACGGATGACTGGTAATGTGTGTCATGGTATATACTCCGTTGAATATCAGACGTGTCTACCTGCAGCGCGAAAAAAATTCAAAGGCAATAACATTATTAAATTAGTAACAGTGCCTTCTGATTACACTTGGAGATTATCTATCAAAGTGAGCCTACCAGTTAGTATACAAAGTGTAATTGCATTGAAAATGTTAATTTTCAATAATCTTTGTCTTGCAATCATTTATATTGCACTACCTGTGTTAAAAAATTGTCCGCAACATTTATTTTGCGAAAATATCACAGTGCGTTTTTCTGTGTGGGTAGTACAACTTGTGTGCCCGACAAAATACGTATTTTCACCTATGTTGTGCAATATTAAAGTATGACGGCATGTAGCACCTTCTACACTACAGTAAATATGTAGGTTTCCTTAGATGCGCTGTAGGTTGTAGCTCAATAACTCCAGTGCTCACGTGTCAATCACATCACTGCTTTGCGCAATTCTTTATAACAATAAGGAGCACCTCAAAGGGTGAATCATGCTTGGAGCTGCGACGCCTTCGCGCGGCCGCTGCTGGGAGCGACCACGCGAGTTTGCGTATTTTGATTTCCATACTTCGGTACCAGGTGCGAGAGCTATTTTACTTCAAGCACGGAGCATTACTTTCAGTGAAATCTGTGTGTATTTCCTTGTAGCTTTGTTCTTCAAACTAGTGAATGGCAGTTTTCATTTTCATAACGCTTTCTCTGCATTGCGGAAGCCCCAAGAACTACTTTTCCACAACTAAAATCACAACCACATTCCCAACACTGACAAGGCAGCCTTAATCATAGAGGAAGGAACACTAAGGTGAGATCGTTGCGTTCCATTTTGTGACGCCAGAAGCAGGATAGAGTAAAGAACTGGTCCTCGCAAGGTTGGTTACGCTTCCGAGGAACAGCGCACTCGTGCATGCGCAATTGACACCGGTGAAAAGGAGGCAAATCGCGCGAACTGAAGTCACAGTGCGAGTCGGTGCCGTATACGCTGGGCAGCAAACGAAAATTTTTGTTCCGATTAAGAGCAAACGTGCTGCGATACTCGCTCGTAGAGTGCCTGTGTGCCATTCGCAGCCTCATTACGGCGCATCTTGTGGATCTACAGTAGACTTGCAGCTTTGCACTTCATGTTTTATCCGCTCAATCCAAGAAAGGAATGGTGCGAATCGGCCCAATATTCGTCACGGGCAGGCCATTTTCATGTGTATGTACGGTAAGTTCAGGACACGGAACATGATTTAAATGTAAAATCTCATATTATCTTGCTTTTATAGCAAGATGAAGTGGCTCTGAATTGTTCTTTGCCCGTCTGTGTCACAATACTTTCGCACGAATATCATTCGCAGCAGCGCTGGTCGTCCGACTGCTAAACAGTATGCCTAAACCTAAATAGGTTGCAATATTTTAAACAATAAATTGCATTACTCTTTCAAACACTAATTTATCAGGTGCGTGTGTAATCATTGGCTTTGGAAGCTCTGGTGAGAACACTGGGTCATCGCTTTCAGATAGTTGCGACCATCGTACATGGGAACGGGTCACCGCAGCCTCTCGCATTAAGAGCTGTAGACGCGGCCGTTCTCATCCAATCCTAGCCTTTCATCGCTGAGGCACGTACTATAGCGCAGCGCCAAACAGAAACGTCAAAGCCGCGGCGCCAACCATTTTCGAAGAAACGGTCGTGGGCTTCGGAAATTACCATTTTTGATCACAAACAATATTAACTAAAATTGCAGCTGCGATGACCAACACTCACTGTAAGCTTCCGACACATGGCACCATTTCCGAAGCACTACAGCTGTATAAAAATGCGCATTTATAACTCCAGCCGATTCTCTCAACAACGTGGTTAAAACGGTGGTGATGCAGACGACACTAGACGACGGGCTGACCAAAGAATCCCCAAGCCCCTGCAAAAGCACATGAATAGCCAGGGCCCCTCCTTAGATTTCCTTCCCACAATGGCCTCAATGAATATCCGCTTGAAATCGAATTACATTAAGAATTTGAACGAATAAATCTTCTAGTGTATATTGCTTATCGTGTGAGTGTGTAATAGAAAGAATTACTTATGAAATTATTGCTGAAAATTGAACTTCACGCATAAACATGCAAACTGTATTCTCTGTGTAGTGAACTCAGTTGTAAGAACCCTGTACTGTTTTAGACCTTTTTGATGCATATTAGGGCCAGCGACTGTGTAAGATACACCATGTAGCGATAAAAACTATCCATGAGTGTATGGTGTTCAGTCCTTCAGACTTGCTCCCAATATGAAGGAAAGAAGCGTACGGTCAAGCGCTCTTTCTCTCTATTAGACACAGTGTAAAGAGGTTTATACGGCGAACCTAATGGGTAGGTGGAAGCTTCGAGATAGCGACAGGACGAGGAAGATGGTTGAGCTCGAGCACCAATTTCGTGGTGCCTTACTCTGCGATGATGCTTGCTGTTCTCTGGTGTTGTCATCATTTCTTCATACATTCTGATGCTTATGCGCACTCGCGATCAGCACTATCAACTGAGGCTGCCTCTAAATCTTCTATAGAGCACGTTCTGTCAGCTCTTGACATCGACACAATGTCCTCCGCACAGCGCGACGATCTATGGATAACTTCGCTTCTGGGCATTTTACATGAGGTACCAACACTTCCAACCACTCGAGAATTGCCACGCCAGGCTCCGCACTTCATCATTCGAGGTGGCCTCTTGTACCAGCGCAATCACACACCAGATGGCAGGAAGTGGCTGCTCGTCATTCCCCGAAAGCTGCGCTCTACAATCTGTCCATCATTTCACTCCGACCCGCAATGCGCTCACGCCGGTCTCTTCAAGACCTACGAACGTTTAAGGAATCGGTGCTACTGGCGTGGGATGTTTACTTTTGTTCGACCGCTTATTCGCGGCTGCCACGAGTGTCAGCGACAAAAACCGCCACTGAATCCAGGAGCAGCTCCACTACAGCCACTTGCGTGCCCCAATCACCCATTCGATCGCGTCGGAATTGACCTTGATGGACCAATGCCATTGACCACCGCAGCTAACCAGTGGGCTATCGTTGCTGTAGATCACCTGACACGGTACGCCGAAACCGCTGCTCTTCCTACGGCGACTGCTCAAGACGTCGCAACGTTCATCCTCCATCGGTTTGTGTTGCGTCACAGCCCCCCTCGCGAGCTCCTCAGTGACCGGGGCCATGTATTTCTATCCGACGTAATCCAAGCACCTCTCCACCAGTGCCATATTGTACACCGGATGAGTACTGCTTACCACCCTCACACGAATGGCGTGACTGAGCGGTTTAATTGGACCCTGGGTGACATGCTCGCAACGCATGTGGCATCTGACCAAACGAACTGAAACCTGTTTCTTCTGTTTGCGACCTACGCGTACAACACCGCTACCCAAGTCACCGCCGGCTTTTCCCCATTCTTCCTTCTATACGGACGTCAACCATCGCACACAATTGACACATTGTTGTCATACACACCAGATACATCCGAGTGCACGACCGTGTCCGAAGCCGCCCGTCACGCCTAAGAATGGCACCAAATAGCGGAGCCGTTTCCTTTGGCCGACCAGCAATGCCAGAAAAAGGCCCGCGATGACGACCACCTACCTGCCGCAACGTTCACCCCTGGAACCCTTTTTTGGCTGTATGTACCACCCTGTGCACCTGGTTTGTCTACCAAGCTACCTTTAAAGTACCATGGTCCATACCGCGTGGTAGAGTGCACGTCGCCCGTTAATTACGCCATTGAACCGATTAAGCCGCTTGGTGACCATCGTCGGCGTGGACACGATATTGTTCACATGGACCGCTTGAAGCCGTACTTCGACCCACTTGTTCCCACCTGTTAGATCACCTGGATGGCTTGATCTTTCTCGTTTGGGGGAAATTTTAAAGAAGAAATGATGACAACACCAGGGAACAACAAGCATCATCGCACAGTAAGGCACCAGGAGATCGGCACTCGAGCTTCACCACCTTCCTCGTCCTGTCGCTATCTCGAAGCTTCCACCTGCTCGTTAAGTTTGCCCAATCAACCTCTTTACAACAGTAACAATTGGAACTTGCAGACAATAATACCAGGTAAAATCTAGCAGATGTATTAGAAGGAACTGTAGTGTAAATGGGAAGAAATGAAAGTGGATGAAAATATAACTTCCCGCAGGCAAGATCCTAACCTACGACTTTATAACAACGCTCCCCATTCTCTACCAACTAAACTACCACGGCGGCTATCTCACCGTTCATATTATGGAGTATACATGAGCATATAAACGTTGGAGCGTCAGACTGCGACGCCAGCAGCCATGATAACGAGTTTATTTGCTCTGCACGTCACGTAGCACGTGATAATAACACAAGCTTCCAGCTCACCAATAATAACTCTCACACAACCCGAAAACATCAAGTCTGCTATTGCGAGACCCTCGCTATCAATGAAGGAAATGGTTGTAAACTCAAGGGCTCATTTCCTTTCTAATTAAGACACGTTATTGATGATAACAAATAATGATGCCAAGGAAAGTATAGAAAAATAGTAATTGCATTGTAAATGTGGAAAAAGGAAAGTGGACGAAGGTAACTTGCTGTCATGGCTACTGATGCACGTTTAAATGCATATATATAACTTATAAAGTACACAGAGGGACGACCGCTGCAGTATAGCTCAGTTGGTAGAGTATAGGATGCGTTATTCTAATGGGGCATGTTCGCTGTAACCGTCGGCTGCGAGTTATCTTTTCGTCCACATTTTTTTATTCCCATGTACATATTACACTTACAACTGATAACATCCCCTATACTTTTCTTGGCATAATTGTCTGCTAGTTCTCGTTGATATTGTGTCTAACACAAAGTCTTTAATACACAGAAATAAATAAATACACGTGATACCCAAATTAGAAAAAAAACCTCGTACTTGGTGAATATAGCTTCAACTTCAACATATAAAGGTGTTTGCAACGTACCATTTCCACCTTTTCTTGCGCTTTGGTGCTTGTAACGAAAAGGAGGTTGTCAGCCAGGACTGTGCTCTTTTCTAGATTAAGTGTTATCATCTTGTTGAGCATAAGAACCAACTTTCCTGCTGTCGAGCGCTCTCTAAGTATGCGAGGATATATGCGCTGTTCTCTGGCCTCTAAGGAAGAATAATGAATGAAGATAAAGTAACCTGCGTAAATAGTGAAACGTGCGCAATATTTTCGCGGTTATCTGTGCAACTTCTCGCTCTGTTATAGTCGCTACATGAATGCCTGCACGTGCATTTTATTCTGTTGTTAGTTTTTTATTCATATCATCTGTTATAACACAGATTGATCCTCAATAATAAAATAGTGTGCGCGACGCGAACGTTGGAGCAGGTTCAGGAACACAATTTAGCTATACTAATTACAGACGAAAGTTAGTACGATAAGTACCACCCAGCGCTGTTACTGTGCTTCATTACAGCGTTAGATTTATTAACTCACAATATCAGCAAACTTTGGTGACGATGTTATCCGCCGCCACAGATGCCCGTAGCCACTTTCATGCACGATAAAAAAGAAATGTTTGATGGCTAGGGTGATGAACAGGGCCAGAAGCCAAAGCCTTCTTCCCCGTCATTTTCGGTAGATGTGAATAAACTTTATTTTTAACTCTCTTCACTCGTAAGAGAACTCTAATATTCCATTTAGTAGCAGCACTGAAACTAGGGCTAGTTGGGCGTACTTCATAATACAAAGTCACAGCTTTGACGCAAAGGCGAGGCAACGAACGCGATAGCACCAAATCGAAATGTCACGCGCGGAATGGCAAGCAGATCAAAACGTGCCCCGTGTTTATGAGGCAATATTGTTGCGCGCAACGTACTCACAGGTACAAATGAACGCGAATAAGCGTCTCAGTTGTTACTTCGCTGTGTCTGAAAAGCGTGCTTTTTTCGCAAACGCAGACCGTGCAGCGATTGCAGTGACCTTTGTGCACCCGGTAACTACAACAGAAACGTTCTAGTGAAAGCCCAACGCCAACCAAGACGTACAATCATGCCACCGCGAGAAAAAGGCACGCGAGCGTGCCTCACCTTCTCCACTCTGAGAGGCGCGGGAGATTAGAACGCGCACCGCCGCGCTCTCATTGCGCCATCTTGTTGGTAATTATATGAAAAAACCATAGTCCCCCCCTCCACTTGAGATGCCCGTCACCAGCGGTAAGTGGTAGATATAAATAGCTTGCCGTTTGAGCGTTGAAGGACGTGCTCTTTGGTGGCTCAGTGGTTAATGCCTCCCATTCGCATTCACCATTGAGAGGTTCCACGTTCGATGCCACGCGCTGGAGTCGTTTCAGGATTTTTTCTTTCTCGCGTTTTCATATATATATATATATATATATATATATATATATATATGTATGTATATATATATGGTGAGTGACAGTGACGCCGACGTCAAGGCGAACGACGGCGGCAAAATCCAGAGGAGAGTGTCCATATCATTGATATCGCAATAAAATGGCAGGGTAGCAACATACGGGTAGAAAAATAAGGCTTGCGAAACGCAGCGCTGAACTCACAACGGAATCAGGTCTCTGTGCGGAATAGTATCGATGGAGCTGAACGGTGAACATGCCTACAGGAGGTAAAAAGGACTATGATCGGTTGTCTCATGTTTGGCCGTGTTATACGCATAGGTAATGAAGGAGAGAACGTCATCCCAGTCTTCATGGTCAGATAATACGCACATGGTCAACATATTCGTCAGAGTTCTGTTCCTACGTTCTATTAGCCCCTTCATCTGATGGTGATAAGGGGATGAATGATGGAACTGCGAATTGCACAGACAAACCAGATCTTCGACGGCGTCTGCAACGAACTGACAACCACGATCACTAATGATTACTCTGGGTGGGCCATGTCGAAGAATGATGAATCTAAGCAAAAACATGGCCACGCACGTCGCTGTCGAAGATTGTATTGCCGCAGTTTCGGCGCAACGAGTCAGATGGTCGACGCATACTACAGTCGACGACCGTAAACATGGGCCCAAAATAGTGATTGATTGATTGATTTGTGTGGTTTAACGTCCCAAAACCACTATATAATTATGAGAGACGCCGTAGTGGAGGGCTCCGGAAATTTCGACCACCTGGGGTTCTTTAACGTGCACCCAAATCTGAGTACACGGGCCTACAACAATTCCGCCTCCATCGGAAATGCTGCCGCCCCAGCCGGGATTTGATCCTGCGACCTGCGGGTCAGCAGCCGAGTACCTTAGCCACTAGACCACCGTGGCGGGGCCATGGGCCCAAAATATTGATACCAACTTTATCAAATGATAGATGAGGAGGTGACAGAGGATGAAAAAGATCTGGCGGAGAAGTCGAAGGGTGCTTGTAGCGTTGGCACTCTTTGCAACTTGCGACATAGTGCTTGACTGTGTGCTCATGTGTCCTATTCAAAGTTCTGATCAACCCCAGATGACCAGCTGTTGCAACGTCGTGCATGGCTTTCAGTATGTCAAATTGTAGGCTGTGTGGTACGACTAGAAAGAAGCGTGTGCCTTTAGCCGAATAATTTGACTTTTATAGAAGGCCGTCAAGGACACAAAAACAGCCGGTGGCTTGAGGACGTGATGCCGTGACAAGTAATGTTTCCAAGCTAATATCAGCCTCTTGTTCTTTCTTGAAAGTAAATAGGTTTTGGAATTTGGAAGAAATAGAGGCAAAACCATCGTCAAAACTGTCTTCGTCACACTCAGTCGTCTTCAGGGTGAAGGCGGGAAAGACAGTCGGCATCTGCGCGGCGGCGTCCAGACTTGAAGGAGAGGATGAAGTCGTACTCCTGAAGTCGAAGAGCCCAACGCACCAGTCAACCAGTCGGGTCGCGAAGATTCACTAGCCAGCATAAAGCGGCATGGTCGGTAACGATAGTGAACGTCCGTTCATATATATAAGGTCGAAATTTGTGTACCGCAAAAACAGTGGCCAAGCATTCTTGTCCTGTTCCGGTATAGTTGCACTCAGCTTTGTTGAAAGAGTGACTGGCATAAGCCACTACGTGCTCAGCTCCTTGATGACGCTGCACAGGTACAGCACGGATGCTGATGCCACTAGCATAAGCATGCACTTCCGTAGGCAAGGACGCATCGAAGTGACGCAGTATGGGCGCCGACGTTAATAGAAACTTTAGCTGACAGAACGCGTCGTCGCAAGCAGAAGTCTAGCTGAAGGAGACGTCCTTTTGAAGAAAGACATGTTAGGGGACGCACCACGTCGGTGAACCTCGGAACGAAACGACGAAAAGATGAGCATAGCCCCAAGAACCTCCTCAATTCCCGCACTGATTTTGGTGGTTCGAAACAGCTGACAACCTCGATTTTTCGTGGGTTTGGCCTTACTGCATTTTTGTCGTCGAGAAGTTGTTTCACCAAAATGACATTTCTTAGAGTTTTGGATCAAGCCGGTCTTTTGTACACAATTCAAAATAAGACTGAAACGTCTGTTACGCTCGTTCAGTGTGCTGCCAAAAATCACCACGCCATCTAAATAGCACAAAGAAGTTTTCCATTTATGTCCTCGAAGTATTTTGTCCATAAATAGTTCGAACGTTGCTGGCGCATTTCAAAGACTAAATGGCATGACATCAAATTCACAAAGGTCGTCAGGTATCACAAAGGCCGTTCTCTCTTCGTCGTTTGGGTGCATAACTATTTGCCAATAGCCTGATCGCAAATCCTGTGACGAAAAGTAGGCAGCAAAATGCAGGCAATCAATGACGTTATCAATTGAAGTAAGCAGATACACATCTTTTTGGTGACCGTATTTAGTTTTCTAAAGTCAACGCAAAAGCGCCATGATGCATCCTTCTTTCTTACTAAGATCTTAGGCGCTGCCTACAGACTAGATGACTCTTTGACAACACCTTTCCGCAACATATCGGTGACCTGTTCAGCTGTCACTACCCTCTCTGTCGACGACACGCGGTAAGGTTTTTGACGAACGGAGTGTGCAGATCCGGTTTCAATGCTGTGATAAGCACGGGAACGTTGGACTGAAGTCTGCGTGTCACGTTGTGTGTAGTCGAACTCTGAAAGATGTATCATAAAAACTCTTGCAAGAGCGTGGCATTCATGCGAGGAAAGTGACTTGCTCACCATTCTTAGGATCTGTTCTTCAGAACTGCTTTTCTGAAGGTGGCTTTTTTTCAGACTGCTGCTCTTCGCCTAAAACAATGATAGTGCCGTACGTGATTTCGTCAAACTCGGCAAGCTTCATAGCACGCGGAAGAACAGGAGGCATCAAACAACAATTGAAAGCCCCTAAGCTTGAGGCGCTATTCACAACTGTCACGAGTGATCGAGGCACAAGTACATTTTTCTTCGCGCAACCTGTCGCAAGTGGTTGAATTTGCGCGTCAAACGATGAAAGGTCGGTAACAGCAAGATTAACACAAACGCGTGATCGAGACTACGGCGCTAAAAAAGAATATTTCGACACGACAAAACAGTTTTTCCCCGGTAAAAATGTCTCAGCAAGCATAGACAAAAGCACGTTATTCACTCTAATTTAACATGTGCCGCAATCAACGAAAGCACCACAATCCCGAGAAAGTCGATCCTGAGAATCACATGATGAGTGCACCGCGGTAATACTAATTTTTCCTTGACGAGATATTCAGCACCAAACAAAACACTTGCAACACAAAAACCTAGAGGAACGAGGCAGGCACTCTACGCTGACACCACAAAACGTCACAACATCATTCCACGGGAACACCACTTTCCGACCAAGCCTTTTCTTGAATGTGGCACTGATGACATAAACCTTAGCACCAGCATCCACTAACGCAGTTGCAGGCATACTATCAATTAACACACACATTTCGTTTTCAGACATCATAATAGGAAGAACAGCAGTTTGCAGAGACGGATACCTGCTGGTGACATTATTTCCATCGGCCATGCCGGCTAGTTTCCTGATAGTGGCGGTGGTGTAGAACATCGCTGCGGTGGTGCTGAACGGCGTAAACGACTGGATGGCGGCGTCAGGCTGCGGTCTGATGCTGGCGAGTCACTCCTGTTGGAATCGCGGAAAGAATCCCTGGGTGGCAAGCCTGTAGCGTTTGTTATACAATGTTCTGCCAGCCAATGATCATCGTTGACC